GCGTTATTTCCCACATTCTGCGTCTGGGAGAATAACTCGAGGTTAAAGTAATTCTCATGATCAAGCCTGTGTTTCATGGGCCACGTCTATGATAAAACAGGCCTACGGTCAGCCAACTAGCTCTACTCTCCGCCGCGTCTATCCTCTTATGGTACTGCTTGCTTTGATTAGGTTCAATGTTGAACCACAATTTCTGTGGGTTGGCACACAAGAGACTAGGATAGAAACAGGATAGACGCGGCGGAGACTAGAGCTAGTTGGCCGATCGTAGGCCTGTTTTATCATAGACATGGCCTATGAAACACAGGCTTGATCATGAGAATTACTTTAACTTCGAGTTAGTCTCCCAGACGCAGAGTGTGGGAAATAACGTCTCATGGAGCATAGATGGGGTGGCAGGGGTCGAGTGAAATATGTGAATCAGGGAGAGAGTAGACGGATCTTACGGGACAAGAGAGAGAGCCTGTGATAAGACATAGAGAAGGAGGACTGCGTAACAATTTGGCAGACTCTGATCAACATTCCCAGCACAAGGGTGAAGGGGTGAGAACGACAGCGTGGAGTGTGAATGGTTTTCATGAAAGCCGCTCAAAGGAGCACACCACACGTCATCGAAGTAGGCACGGCACAAATTGTAAAAGTGAAGGTGTGATAGGAGGATATAGGAAATGTGAATAGCCCAGGGCAAAAGGGGAGATACCACAACTGTTTAGCACACATTTGGCCAAAGGATGGGCTGCATTTGTCTCTTTTGACGAGTTGTTGAATGGTGCTACGAATGGTGAGACTCATTGACGATGCCGGCGAAACGTCTGGGAATGTACCACGTCCACGGTCCTACTCTTGAAATGATCATGCACACAATGGACTCCGGACGAGGTGCGTTCCTCTAAGTCTTCTTACCAATATGACCGAGTTACGAAAACAAGGTCAAACAACTTCTATACAACGAAAGGAGCCTGCGACCACACAAAAGGCCATAACTTGTATGCTAATTTGAGATGAAATCCACTTCGTGCTGAAAGAGCATAGACGCCCAGAATAAAATCAGGTCTCGACCTCGGCCAGGCCATAGTTTTAGCAGCCAAAGCGGGGTTTGGACTCTGGGCACGAGGGCGCAGGGCCGAAGCGTTCTGCACTGAATCAACCAACCAGGGCTTCTGGGGTGAGGCAGGTAGCCCTCGAGTCCATTCACAAATCGGAAACTCTCTAAACAGTCCTCTTTGACGGGACGTCAAGAATGGGAGACGATTGATGGTGATTTCCAAATGGTTGGAGTGTTTGGTCGAAGACAGACACAAACTCAACTCAAACTCCACCAATGTGTCAGTCTAAAATAGGATAGTGTAATGCCAACTGGATGTAACCTTGGCAAGTTCTATTTGCACCTGACCACATGAAAAGAAAAGCTATATTTGTAGGAATATTTTAGTTTACAATAGTTGAACTCATTTACCTTTCGAGTAAAACTGCGTTAGAAAGAGAAGATGATAGACCCTTCACGGCCAGTTGTCCATAGGCTTTATCGGACCGGTTTTGTTGGCTAAAAA